ATGCACAAGCAACACGCGATTAACACTTAAGACGAGGCTACGTCATAACGCAAGAAATCGAGAAAAGATTAATTTCTTTTTCTTTTTTATCTTGGCGTTATTATTATCTACAATTTCTATTTACCGCAAGCATCAAATCGACGAAAGACATAATGTATTTATTTACCATTTGTATCTCGATATTCAAAGATATCATTCTCTACGCTCCTTGGGGGAAGTTCTGTTTGCACTGTGCACTGTTATTCTTAGCGGAGGAAAGTTTCTCGCTCGCAATATCGGTTTTTTAGCATTCGAGTTACAAATTTTTAGTATTCAAGTTACAAACATCGCGCAACCTTTTTCTCGTATCTCGTACGTGATTTTTCTACAAAGGAACAAAACGACAATCTTAACTTGAACACACAAAATTGCAGATGTCGAGCAATGCGAGGAGAATTTTTTTTAAGTCTTCAGCCATTTTTATGCTCTTTGAAGCATAAAATGTCCAAGTCTTGCTACGCGGGAAGCCGAGTACCCGCATAAATTATGCATCCGGAAAGGGGGTGAAACTCTCTGCCGCGCAAACTTTGGGTTCGCTACGTCGTTCTCGACGCCGGAACCGTATTTGTAAAATTCAACCCGTATTAATGAACAAAACCGACTCCGTGCTTAAGAAGGATGTTTTACGTTAAAATATTTTACAATGTAGGGCGCCGACCCTCGAAACGATACATCGTAGAGCGGGTTTATCGCAGTCGTGAAATTATAATATTAACACTGTACACATTATTCTCTAGCGCAAATATATATTCATCAATCTCAAATACATTTCGAGTTACGTTGTTAAGCAAACGTTAATTTCTTATTACAAACGAACTTTTTCTCATTTTTTAAATCGCGTTGTAGGCTAATTTTCGCGAATTTTCGGTCGGTTAAAATTCCGGCGCGCTGCCGGAATTATATTCCCTGTTAACAAATTATAATTAATCGCGACGGTTTGCAGTACAGTACTCGTTTCTTGACTCGTGTAATTAAAATTAATTATGACTGTTTGTAGCGGGGCGGACAACGCAAGAGTTAATTAATATTGTCTGCGATGTATTGTTCCGCCGCATCGAGTAAATCGTTATGGCTCTCTTCTCGTGGCTTTACTGCCAAAAGATCCTTTGTTCGGCTTCTACGTTAGGTTAAACCCTACCTCGAAAATGTTCTCAAATTATAACACGAAGGTTCCTAGAGCGCGATATTAAACGACTGTGCGATATAAAATATTGATATTGATATAAGATATTTCTCTCGAAAATTAATATTAGATAACTTTATGTGCGATCGCGAAACGGCGACATTTTTCTATAATTACGAAAGTTTCGAGAGTTTTCATCATTTTCTTATCGAATATTCGAATTCATTATTCAAAAAATTTGGCGGGAGTTTTAATATAATCGAGGTTCACACTTCTGTCTGACGTCAAAGTTTTCTGGCATTATAATTTTTCACGCTTAATGCAACAAACTTTACTTGACGCGCAGGTGTGTAGTATTCGAAGAGAGGATCTCTTTCCCCCGTAAAACTTCCTGACCCGGTAACATCGTGGTACGTCAACATTTTCTAAATAGGATGGTTGTCATCATCATTCATCCAGTTGGTTATTCGCCGTAAAATCCTCCATCTTCCAAATAATACGATTATCAAAAGGTAATATAGAAAATATATGAAACACATAGTGTATAAAAATGCATATAGAAGTGAATGAAAGAAAAACAATAAATTGTTACGCAATGATACATATACATCGCAGCAATTTTAAATAAACTTAAAAAAAATTAATAAAATGAAATTCTAAAGAATGTAAATTTGTCGAGAAGGCAATAATTGAAAAACGCTGTTTTACGATATTGTATTTACACTTCCCAATATAATATCTTGACTAACTCTACCATCTTAAATATAAAATATTATCGTTGTGTAATGTCTCGAGGCAACTCCGAGGAAACTTAACATAAAAGAAAATTGTAAGATATAGATCTTTCAAGAAAGCTATTTTAGAAAGTCGTACGATAACAGCTGCGCAAACAATAGCGTGGCAAAAGTTTGTAGCGCGAAAATTACCGAGCTACATTCGTTGAAGTAAATTAAACTGATTATAAGGGCATTATAGATGATTATCCTAACTGACATTACAATATATAATGTTGACTACATCTAGCGAAAGTAATTATCCCATCATTACAAAGAAATCTACTGTATGTCAAAGCTTCTAAGGTTTATTCAACGAAAGTCCTGAGAGAAGCGTTAATTACAGTCGACAAGAGAATGTACATTTCAATTGGCCTTTTGACTTTCATGGACGCGGGTGAATATTCTCTTGTGAGAATACAACTCGGTCACGATTTTCGCTATTCGGTTTTAATTGAGAACGGTAATTAAAAATAAGTTGCATTGTGAAATTTTGAAAGAATGGTATTGTATATGCAAGTATGGTATATTGGCAGTATGGAACTTTGGATTAAAAAAAAAAAAAAAAAAAAAAAAGATAATTGAAATATAAAAGTCGATATTACACGGTATTGAGGCAAACTGGCTTAAAATATTTCTTTAAAATTTCAAACTTGATTTACACCAGAAACTGCTAGTCGACGAGTTAAATCGCTTTTACATAATACCGTTCAACAAAGCTGTGCAACACTCGAAAGAGTGAATCGATCATTGGCACATCGGAAATAGCGGATGAATATGCCGCTGCAGTAAAAACAAAATCAAAAAGAGTGCAAAAAAGCGCTTTATCATTTAATGCAGGAGCGCGCGTCAATTTTGCTCGCACGACCACCACGGACGAGTGACTCGACGAAGCTTTTCGCGTCATCCCGCCACCGCACCACACGAAATTTCCCGGGGAAATTATTTTCGATAACATCCTGACGTTTAACGGCTGAAACACGCGGTATTACCAACGGCTCACACACGTTTCATCGGGCATAAAGCCACCATGGCGCAGGAGCGACAATTAAATAGAATGTACACTATCCTATAATGAAAAGTAAAAAAAAAAAATCTACTCTAGAGAATTAACTCTAATTAAACATACAAAAATAAAAAAAAAAAAAATTAATACATTTAAATTGTATTTATATATGATTATAATTGTATTCATACGTATCTCTAAAAAACTTGTAAATTATTATTATATATGATATATAGACTATATTTTGTATCTTTATTTTTGAATGTAAATATAAAATTTAATCTTTTTAATTTATCGAGCTATAATTTCTCTTAATTATAAAATCTATTAATTTCAGAAGATTATTCTTTTTTTTTCATAAAATTTATTTGATACTTTTTAAGAGTATGTTACTTACTTTTTGTCTCAAAGATCAATCTGAAAAGATACGATTAATTTGTAAAGCCTTTTGTCCACGATGCTAGAATTCGGTCCGAATTCTCGGACCGAGAAATGTGTAGCCAATCAATTCGCAGCTTTTACGGAAAAGCGGCAATTTTATTGGCTACACGTTTCTCGGACCGAGATCTCGGACCGAGTTGTAGCATCGTGGGACACAAAGCTTTAGAGATATAAAACCATCGTCTCAAAACGCATTTATTTATTTATTTCATACTTTCTGTGCAATTTCATATTATATATAAGGACAGTAAATTGGGACTGACACACAGCCGCTTTTAGTACGTCGCCGTTGTCGGCCGACTTTATCGCGAAGGTGCAATTTATTGTATGGAATTATCCCTCGTCACACGCACGCATGCAGACTGACAATTACATTTTTCCACCGTCTGGCCATGAGGTGTGCCTTGGACCATCGCACTCATATTCGCGGAACGTTTCTCTCTCTTTCTTTCTCTCGTCATGCTCGCTTTATTCGCTCTGTTCGCTCGCGGATCCATGAAGCGTGACATTATAGGCGTATCGCGAGATGCATGCGTGACATCGATTCGCGAGAAGGATCGAGGGAAACGAGGAACGGACGAGCGAGATGATAGGGGAAAAAGTGCCGATGTGCGAAAGAAAAAACGGTCGGCGCACAAAGGGAGAGAGAGGGAGAGAAAGGGAGCGAGAGGTGGGGGGGGAGAGGAGAATAAATTGCACGAGCGACACGGATTTATTCGAGCACGATACGTTACCGTGATACGTGATACGACTTGGCGTGAATCGACGAGAGCTCGCGATACTTTTGAGCGACGACGCCACTTTCGCTCGACAGACAATGCGAAATTCCGCGATTTGACGAGGGGAATCGGCGAGGGATGGTGGCGGTGGCAGCGGCGACGGTGGTTGAAAATCACCGGGAAGAGAAAAAAAGAAAGAAAGAGATGGAAAGAGATACTCTTTCTCTTCTCGAGAGAGGAACGAGAGGGATTCTTTCTCACGGTAGAATAAGCTCGCTCTAATTCGCCGATGGTAGTTATCAAGCTAGCTGGCTTCTGACAGTTTACCTGAATACGCGACGAATTTAAAATAAAACCGCGCCGCGATGAATTCCATATCCGACGCGATGCCGTAAGCGACTGACATATTCCGCTGCAGTTGATATCGTTTTTTCGATCTCTTCCATTGTCTACAATTTGGAGAATAGCCCCCTCCTCTCATTCTGTCTCTTTCTCTCTCTCTCTCTCTCTCTCTCTCTCTCTCTCCTATCTCTTTTTTTCGTCTAATATAGATATCATTTTTACTTGAAACCTAACCACAATGTATTTCACTGACAAATTTTTTTATCGATTCAATTTCCCCCCAGATAAAAATATCTAGTTAGTTTCTAAAAGTTATTATTTATTACAACTTTTCAGTTTTTTCCTATTGCATATTATTAAAAAATAATAATAAAATTCGAATTAAAATTGTGAAGTAACGTATAATTGAAATTAAATTAAAAAAAAATATTGTTAATTAAATTGAAAAAGCATACTAGTTTTCAGTTTCAATTTACGAGAAAACACGCCATGATCGTGGAAAATATTTGATACGCAAAGCGCGATACATAATGATCATATTTTTTTTCCGCTTGCAGGCGATTTTTCGCTACACATATACCCGGTGGAACTCGAGGACGATGGCACGTATCAATGTCAGGCATCGCCGACAAACGACGGACAGCCGGCTTTACGATCGAGATTTGCCAGACTGAGCGTGCTCGTGCCGCCGCAAAAGCCGAAGATCCTGCAAGGCGACTTTCTCGTCACCACCGAGGATCGCGAGCTGGTGATCGAGTGCATAAGCGTCGCCGGAAAACCGCCGGCGGAGGTGAGGAAATCTTTCGTCTTTAGACATTTTCTGGCATCTTTGTCAACATATATATCGATAGGATTACTCGCGGATTAAATCGGATTAATCGCAATGAAAGCAATCCCCGGTGATTGCGTCCGGAAACTTTGTGGATATCTCTCGGCGATGGACAAGTACACCGCCCAGAGGATTATGTCCGATCGATACTATGTCGAGGCGTGCCTCTCGTTTTACTGTTTTGCACGCGTTCCTAAAGATGTTTCCATATTACACACGTAGATTATGTTGCACAAGTCGAGATATTGTTAATCGTAATTCAAAATAAAAAATAAAAAAGTTATATATCTCTCTAATAATATATGTATATGTACATGTAATA